CATCTGGTGTACCAGCCAGAGGACGCGGCTGGCTAAGGTTTGTTTTTAAGGCCCGGGTCTTACCCTCTCGATACTCTCCGGTGAGATCCTGGTGCTTTGAGACCTCGCAAAAGTCCAAGGACAGTGGCGTCTGTCACTAAGCCTTCTTTCTCCAAAACCCGAATAGCTCGCGATGAGATTATAGACTCGTCGCACGGGACTATTGATTCTGACTGAGGAGAGGTCAATTCAGCGATCGACTGCTGATGCAATATATCCAGAGCAAATGCCGGGATGTATCAGCATTGCAGCGATTGGCCACAATGGGGGAGATGCTCAGTAATCCTCATGAAGTATTCGCTCGGTTGTTCCGGATCGGACTGGGGGATCGACTGGGTTGAAAAATGCAGTTTTTGCCCACTATTTTCTTATGGTTGCAGTTAGAGTTCCCACCGTCGTTGCTTTTTTTTCTTATTTTTTTCCCTTTTGCATTCGTCTGAGGGAAATGTTGGTTGTGGGGGAGACGCAGCCGCGGACGACTAACCTGTAGGACTAGTGACGCCCCATCCCCGCATGAAGGACCGCGACTCAATTACCTTGATGCTGAGTGGGAGACCTTTTCACCCATACTGAATGTGCATCTGATCCCCGAGCGAATAGGCACCGAGAACGAGGAGGGGTGAGACAATCCTCGGGTTCTTAGCGTCAAGTACACTTTTTCTCCGGCGCGTTACTCGCCAGCAACAGGAGCCGCTCCGGAGCGCCAATAACCGCGCCGGTATTGTTGCTGAAGCTATTCACTACAAGAAAAGAAGATGATGGATAAAAAAGGAGGAGGAAGCATGGGAGCATTGAGGTTGTGCTGCTCACCGGAACTGGGTTACTCCCCGGGCTATTCCCCAGTTTCCAAGTTACACTGTACAACATGCATCCTTCTCACAGTCGAGCAGGGAGTCGGGCGTCAGACCCATCGAGCAACGGACCGTGTGATCTCGTAAGTCGTAGGAATGCTCGTATGCAGGGGCAGCCAGGCTTGCCTGCGCCTGGGAAACGTACCCATTGGCCTGCTGCAACTGGGCCCGGCGCTCCCCCAGGCTGCCGTCAACCATCTACGAAAGACGGGGTACGTCTCGCTGCAGCATGGATGGCTGACTGTGCCCAAACAAGGGCGGGGAATAAGCATCGACGAGGGATCCCTCTTGGACAACCCGGATTTCACTGTAGAAGTAGCTAGTAGATGCTAACTCGAATTACGCTCTTCAGCTCTTCAGCTCTTCATGCGTTCTACCAATATTTACATGGTTCGATGGACTTCCACAATGGGATTGCTGAATAAGCATGCTATATTTGCCACCGCCTTCCTCTTCCAACATACTGCCCTTTCAAGGCTCCGAGTCGCTCGTCTGGACTCATCCGATGCCGACTAATCATTCATCATTCTCCAAGTCTGCTCTCTCACCTATATGCTTAAGTGTCTGGAGGTGCCAAACACTTTGCAAGGCAATAGGGCATAAATTGGGTCTATATTTTAGCCCACCTCAGTCATCTGATTGACTGCAAACCAAGCAAGGACCTCCGCTCAAACGTGTCGACGAGCAAAAAGCTCCTGCTCTACCTCTCGATCCTTCCTAGTACCCTCTTGTCGTTCAACACAAAACCAATCAACATGACGGCAGACGTGAGCCATGCAGCATCACGCGTGCTCACCTCCAACAGTCCCCGCGACCCGAGCTTTGATGACTTCTCCTTCGTCCCCTTCCTCCGCCAGAGCTACGGCTTCGGCCTCGCCAGTGATGTACCCGTCTGCAAAGCCTACAGCGAAGGCCACTGCCCTCTGGGACCAGCCTGTCCCGATCGCCACCCGACCCCATCGCGTGTCACCACGTCGACCACCACCGCGTCGGGACTAGCACCGTCAACCACACATGGGTCGCTGGTCTGCAAGCATTTCCTCAAGGGACTCTGCAAAAAGGGTCTCAAGTGCGAGTACCTTCATGAATACAACCTCCGCCGCATGCCGGAATGCCAGTCCTTCTCGCGGTCCGGCTACTGTCCCAATGGCGACGACTGCCTGTATCAGCACGTGCGGGAGCAGGCGCGTCTGCCCCCCTGTGAACACTACGACCGGGGATTCTGCGAGCTGGGACCCCTGTGTGCCAAGCGGCATGTTCGTCGGCGCTTGTGTCAATACTACTTGGCTGGGTTTTGTCCGGACGGCAAGGCCTGCGTGGATGCTCATCCCCGGTGGTCGGTGAACCTCCCCCGTCCGCAAATCCGGGTCGAGAAGACCGAAGAGGAGCTGGAGCGGGAACGGGCCTTGATCCGGGAGGAGCAGGAGAAGGAGAAGGAGCGTGAGAGGGAGTGGAGGAGTGAGCGTGGTCGCGGTGGAGGCTTCATGCGGGGTCGGTACCGGGGACGTGGACGCGGATAGAAGAAGAAAATGATGATGATGATGATGATGATGGTGGTGGTAGGGGAAAGGGGTTGGTTGTATTCGTTTTGCAGATTTGAGTTTACAAAATCGTCGAGATACCCAGCTGAGAGGCATGTTTACACTTATTTTACATGGTTAGATCTATCAAGGTTGCATTTGAATTGTCTTTGTCGTGTATCTGAGGATACATAGTAGGGAGACAGGAATTTGAGTGAAGGAATATGCGATAAGAATGATGATGAAGCAGAGCTGGTGCTTTAGCTTGATTAGGAATATGGTGTCTATTAGAGACGCCGGGACAATCTAATATGGGGCTGGGTACGGGAGTCGATGGACGGTCTAGCCAGACCGTGCACGGATTTCCGCTACTCAATTGCCAACTAGGTTACTGTGTAGTGTGTACACTGTATATAGGGCCAAGTGAGCGTCAGCAGCAACCCCTAACAAACAAAGAGAGAGCAGCTATTCCACAGTAGGAATGTGAGAAACTCTATTAGTCGACAGTGATTAGGTGCTATCCAAATGACATCATGACTATCAGCTCACAGAACAAGCAGATTACCCCTAGTTAGTAACTAGAAGATGAGAAAGCAAATTGTCAGAATTTCCTAATCTTTATCCGGGGTCCTTCAATTCCCAAAAAGAGGAGGGATCAAACCCGTGCCGCCAAAGGTGTCACCATTGCTTGTTCCCACGGGGAGGAGAGGAGAGGCGAGGAGGGGCTTATGAGATGGTGAATAAGAGATCATTCAGCGCCAGTCGAGTCCATCCGAGCTCCATTTGTCAATGATCCGTAAGGCTCCACAATTAAGACTGATTGGATGGCATCACGCCGAGTGGCTCCGGGACTCCACTTCTAGGTACCTTGGGACCAATCATCGAGTCAGGGAGAAAGGGTCCGTACGGGAAGAGGCGAACGGTAGTAATCGATTACGGATGCTTGCCAAACGCTGAGTGAGAAGCTGCTGCTTTGAGTTGCGGAGCTCCTCAACCACAGTACCTTTACCCCCCCCTTCCTCTCGAGGCTATAAAGTCTGGCCACCATGGCCGGACCCATTCGCTTGTCTTTTTCTTCTTTTCATCAGAAGCAACCTCTTCCTCCTTCGTGCCCTTCTTCTCTCTCTCTTTTTTCCCCCTCCAGGTTCACCCCACCACCCCACCATCACCATGGCTCCCAAGATCGCTATCGTCTTCGTATGTGATATCCCACCGTTTTGTGACCTCAACATATTAGAAATCCGCAGGACTAATGGGCCAATTAATCACAGTACTCCATGTACGGCCACATCCTCAAGCTGGCCGAGGCTGAGAAGAAGGGTATTGAGGCTGCTGGCGGTTCCGCCGACATCTTCCAGTATGTCAATAGCTGCAACTGAAGTTCATCGCAATTGTCCCGGTGACTAACCTATACCGTCTAGAATCGCCGAGACCCTCTCCGACGATGTTCTGGCTAAGATGCACGCTCCCCCCAAGTCCAGCTACCCCATTGCTGAGGCCAACACCCTCCTTGAGTACGACGCCGTTCTCTTCGGTATCCCCACTCGCTACGGTAACTTCCCCGCTCAGTGGAAGGCCTTCTGGGACCGCACTGGTGGTATCTGGGCCTCCGGTGGCTACTGGGGCAAGTACGCTGGTCTCTTCGTTTCCACCGGTACCCAGGGTGGTGGTCAGGAGTCCACCTGCCTTGCTGCCATGAGCACCCTCGCCCACCACGGTTTCGTCTACGTTCCTCTCGGCTACAAGACCGTCTTCGCCCAGCTGTCCAACCTCAACGAGGTTCACGGTGGTAGCGCCTGGGGTGCTGGTACCTTTGCTGTAAGTTTTTCTCTTCCAAAAACCGACACCGGACCGTTTCTATTGGCGACAATATACTGATGACTTTTCTTTTCTACAGGGTGCCGACGGCTCCCGCCAGCCCAGCGCTCTCGAGATCGAGGTTGCTGAGGCCCAGGGCAAGGCCTTCTACGAGCACGTTGCTGCCCACAACTTCGCTTGACTACATGGTAGCGAGCAGGCCAAGTCGGAGTCGCAGCCTGCGGCGGCCGCAGCAGCGTCGCAAAAACAGACGACTCAGACTCCGAAATCCCAGCCTGCGCCAGCCAAGAACGGTCAGGGCACTCAGGGAGCGAGTGATGCAGACAAGAGTAACGAGGGACCATGTGGTTTGCCTAAGAAGTGCACCATTATGTAAATCGATTTGCACTTGATACCCTGCAGTTTCATTCGTGCCTTGCTTTGCTTTGACCGGGTTGGATTGGATACTGGCGTTTAATTCGGAGGACTGGGTCTGTTGTTGTTGTGATGCTATTTCCATAATATAAATAGAACAGAATCATAATAAATGAATATACACTTATAAATATATATAAATATACATCTCTTGACTTGAAAGTATGTGTAATCAAGAACAAGCTATGGATGCGTCGACAAGGGAAGTATCTGGATTACCAAAGATACACCATTTGTCAGCGGAGATGAGACCGCGGGGTGGTACCAGGCGGTAACGGCGTGCAATGACGATAGAGCTCCCGCTGCCGCCTTAATCGGCTCTCCAAGCTCCCTCAACTCTCTCTCTCTCTCTCTCTCTCTTTCAACTTCTCTCTCCTCTCTCCCCCTCCCGCCCTCGGCCATGATCTGATGAGTTTGATGAGTTTGATGAGTGTTACTTAAGCCGCACAAACATTGATTCAACTCTATTATTCAGTCCAACCCTTTCTTGCTAGGGTGTCACACTATGGCGTCACGCACGATCGTACTGAGGTTCGAAAGCCGCAACGGCCAGTTCCGGTTGACGGTCAACCCGCAAGAACTGTTCCCGTCTCTGCAGCCACAGGTGTGTTTCCTGTACCTTATGGCGTAGTACTCAAAGCTCGAATGAGTGCTTATATGCCCTCTTCTAGATCCTAGAACGCCTCCCTCCGAACGTCGATCCCTCATCTATCACTCTCTCCAACCGGCCCATCGGCACCGGTGGTGAAGAAAGACTTCTTAACAGTTTAGATGGCGTGGGTTTGGACAAAGTTGGTTTGAAGTGAGTTGAGACCCGCATGTTTGACAGATTCTGCGCCGCTCTAGGTTACCTGTCACAGCTACTAACACTGCCCAATTCTTTCCTGTCAGGCACGGCGATAAGCTCTTCATCGGGTATCAAGAAAACCAAGGACAACAGAATGGCACAGCCAACGGCCACATAACCCCCAGCGCGGGTGAAGCTTCGCGACGTCTAAATGGAGCTCCCGTGCCCCAAAGCGAAACGGTAACCTTCCGCCCTCCGCGGCCGACCTCGCCTACAGCCACGATCAAGAACCCTTGGGACGTGGTGCAACAATCGCCGCTAGATGATATGCTGGACAAGAAGGATGGGAAGATCAAGCGAGGCCTGGATACGAAGTTCTGCCGACACGGCCCCAAGGGAATGTGCGATTACTGCATGCCGCTCGAGCCCTACGACCCCAAGTATTTGGCGGAGAAGAAGATCAAACACCTCTCGTTCCATTCGTACCTGCGGAAAATCAACGCCTCGACCAACAAAGCCGAACTCAACAGCTCGTTCATGCCCCCGCTCAGTGAGCCGTATTACCGCGTACGGCGAGACTGTCCCTCTGGACACCCGCAGTGGCCGGAGGGCATTTGCACCAAGTGCCAGCCGAGTGCGATCAGTCTGCAGCCTCAAGAGTTCCGGATGGTGGACCACGTGGAGTTCTCCTCGCCGGATCTCATTAACTCGTTGCTCGACTTTTGGCGGAAGTCGGGCGCTCAACGGTTAGGGTTTCTCTACGGTACCTATGAGGAGTATAAGGAGGTTCCGCTGGGTGTGAAAGCCGTGGTCCAGGCCATCTATGAGCCACCGCAAGTGGATGAGGTGGATGGAGTTACGCTCCATGAATGGCCCAACGAAAAGGAGGTGGACGAGGTTGCACATCTATGTGGTTTGGAGAGGGTTGGCGTAATCTTTACGGACCTACTGGACGCAGGTCGTGGAGACGGTTCGGTGATTTGCAAACGACACATCGACTCCTACTATTTGTCCTCCTTGGAGATTGCTTTTGCGGCGCGGTTGCAAGCGCAACACCCGAAGGCCACGAAATGGAGCCGAACAGGCCGCTTCGGCTCGAATTTTGTCACCTGTGTGCTGAGTGGCGACGAGGAGGGCGCCATTGCAATCAGTGCTTACCAGGCGTCAGTAGCGGCCGTCGAGATGGTCCGCGCGGACATTGTTGAACCATCGGCAGAACCCTCTGTCATGCTGGTGCAATCCGAGGACGACGACACCGAGAACAAGTCGCGGTATATCCCCGAAGTCTTCTATCGCAAGATCAACGAGTACGGCATCAGCGCTCAGCAAAACGCGAAACCCAGCTTCCCCGTCGAGTACCTCCTGGTCACCTTGACACACGGTTTCCCAACGGACGCCTCCCCCCTATTCACCGACAGCAGCTTCCCCATCGAGAACCGCGAAGTCATCGGCGAAAGCCAAGAGCTCATCCACGTGGCGAAGAAGCTAGTAACCCACGGCGACCCGGACAAAGCAATCCGGGCCGTCTCGGACTTCCACATGCTGTGCTTCCTGCACTCCCTGTCGACATTCAACAAGGTAAACCCTCATCGCCTACATGACTTCCTTCCATTCAGGAGCAAACCGTCCTAACCAAACCCACCCACCTTCTCACAGGACGAAGAAGCCCTACTATGCCGCGTCGCGACGCAACGTGCCCCCGCAGATGGCCTGCAGCTGATCAACACCTCTGGATGGGCTACCCTGGTGACCATTCTTCAGGAAAGTGGTGAGCGCCCCCCTAAGCGCCCCTGGCTGCCCACACCCGAGCCTTACCCGCCACGTTCAGTGCCCTACAACCCCGGAAAACGTTCCCTCCCCTCTTCTGCCTCTTCCTCCTCTCATCTCAGGCCCGAGTCTCCCAAATCTGAAAGTGAACGTCTTGCTAAGAGGTTTAAGGGAGCTAGTCTAGAATGAAATTCTTTTGTTGACTAGTCCGATGACCGAATCCCAACCTATCCCAAATCTCCTTCCGTCTATCTCTATATCCTACCTCTTTCTGCCTGTCCATCACTATGTCACTCTGTGTCTCGGGCTCCATCTCAACCTCAACCTCAACCGCAACGTCTCAGTCAGCACCATTCTATATCGAACATCTCCTACTTCCAATACATATACAATCGTTTGCCCATGCCGCACATGCGTGTACCCAAAGCGGAGGACGAGCCGGAGAAAAGGGCATGGGAATTAACAAGGGAAGGAAGGAATGGAAATTGGGGAAAGGGGGAAGCCGGGGAAATCGGGAATATATTTACAAACTATAGCATGGTGCATTCAAGCCACTTGAATATGAACTATACTCCCACTTATCAATACGTGGGATACTTACATTGACTCTGCCTCTATTACTTTCATGATCATACTCATGTCAATGCTATATTCTTGGGGTAGTTGGGTTACATGGAATAGAACAATGATTGGGCTGAGTACGTATCATATGGTACATATAGTACAGTATGGAAAAATAACAACATAATGTATCGTCAATTTCGTAAGATCGTGCAGAGTTTCAAACACGAGGTTGTAAGAGATAAAGTGACTAGATATGTGAAGAGATATGAATATCACGAGCCGAGAAAAGGGGGAAAGCAAACACGAACACAATACGAAAAAAAAGAAAGGAAGAAGAACAGAAGTGATATTAAAAGGAATACAATCCCTACTCATCCTTCTTGACCAATTCACCCAATCTCTTCTCAATAACTCTCCTCCCCTCCACATCGCGCCAAACCTCATGTGGCGCCCCCTTCACAATATCAAAGTTCTTGAGATTCTTCGTAATCTTCGTCAACTCCTCCTGTCTCTTCGCCCACTTTTCACTCTTCCGAACTTCAATACCCGAGCTAATCACCACGAGTGGCGTATCCGCCATCTGGACATGTCTGGCCGTCTGGATCTCCGAGGAGGTCATCGACTCAGCAACAAGGTTCTCCTGTAATTTCGCCTTGACGATCTTCCCCGTTTGGTAGGAGCTGCGGCCGTAGACGCGGTCTTCGCGCGTGCGTCCCTTGAAGATGGCTCCGGCGATACGGTCCAGTCCTAGCGGGGTGAAGATGCCGCGAAGCCAGAGCGTGAAGCCGCGGCCCGGGGAGCCGATGTTACTGAGGTAGTCTTCGTGGAGGCTGTCGATCAGAACGATTCCAGAGATCTCGAGCAGGTGGCGACTGGCGAAGATGCGGCTGTAGATGCCACCAACGCTGGCCGAAACGAGGATCCAGGGGCCCTCTTCGCCGGCGAGAGCGAGAGCCTCGGATAGGGCATCTGCTGCCATGCCGGCAGAGAAGGGGGAGGGCGCGTTGTCGGACCAGCCGAAGCCGGGACGATCCCAGTAGCAGTAACGAGGGATGAGGCCGGACTGGTATGCATCGTGGATGAATGGCTGCAGGGTATGTTCGACGGGCCAGTCGCCACCTTCGATGAGGACCGTCGGGGTGTCATTCTGAAGACTGTGGGTAGTGTTACCGACGCAGTGGAGGTGGACTTGGTAGCTGTCGCCGTTGACGTAGTATTTCTTGCCGGGGGCAGGGAGGGATGCATCGCGGGCGCGAAGGATCAAGGTGGCGGTAAACAGGATGACAATGATAGCGAAAATGACCAGGAAGACGGTCTGAATGAGAACAGCGACCCATTCGCGCAGGGGACGGCGGGTTTCCGGCCGCCCTGTCAGACGCTCCTCTTCCTCCCGCTTACCCCATGCCACGGAGTGGTTCTGGACGATAGTATAGAGAGAGATGAAAGCTGCCCAGACTACCGATGCGACTCCCACCCAGCCTTCTTCAAGCCGGATGCGAGGGACGGCTAGAGTAAGGATCATGTCGATGAGGAGGAAGATGGCGATGATGATACCGGATACGGACATGGGTTTCGACGGGATAGCGAAGAACAGGAGTCCAAGCAGGAGATACCCGGTTGTCAGAGTCGTGTAGGCGAAACTGAAGAATCCGGATCCGCGCGAGTGCATCATGGGTGGACTGACGAAGAGGGAGACGAGAAGGAAGGTCCACCAGATGAAGCTGATAGCGAGGAAGAGGGAGGAGAGGCCTCGTAGGGCTCGGATGCCCCAGAGGTTGTAGGGAGAGACCTGGCGAGCCTGGTGTTAGCCATAATCTACGTGAAGGTGAGGTGTTTCTATGTGAAGCTCACAGCAGGGTCATCAGGGCTCAGATAGGCCGGGGGCTCGCGCGGGAGCAGTCGTGTGCGCTCATCTGGCTCATCGTGTCGTCGCTCATCCTCTCGATCGCGCTGCTCGCCGGTCCTGTCAGACTCGTCGCTTCGTCTAAATTTAAGGGACACCATTGTGCTTTCCTTCACCCTGGTGCTCTATAGAACATAGAACGATAGGTGCGGGGGCGAGATGGGTCGTGATAAGAAACGAAGGCGCGACATCGATCGGGATGCCGAAGGAGAGAGTCATGAGGCAGATGTTGACGTCACGGCATGGCAATGGCTGGATAGTGGAACCGGGAGGGCCCCAAAAGCACACAAGAAGGGGATCCATGATGGTTGCGAGCATCACCGGCTGGCATCTGGCTGGCGGCAATGCTCAGCCGTGACGTCACGGCAGGCTTATGTCACCGTCATGGACACAATATCATCACCGCCATTTGCTGGTGCAGGATGGAGAGTAAATGGTAAGGATGAGAAGGTGAGACAATAGATGGGCAGGATTGGAATTGCAAGGTATAGGTGCATGGTGGGAGAAGACAATCCTCTTTGAATGTATCAATAAATTAAGAACAAAGAGAAAAGCAGGAAGTACACAATTAGCGCGTCGATCCATCAGGCACACGCCTGGTCAGCTGACCTGCCGCACCGTGGGGAAACCCATCCTGGTGCATACTTGTTGTATATTATCTAGAATATAATTTAGAGTATAATTGTGGATAGACAATCAATTTCACTCTATACAGACCCCAGTTGATAAGACCGATGACCCACTGGGAAAAGGATCCCTGGAAAAAAAATGTGATCTGCAAAATACCATCAAGTATCATCAGTCAATACAATACGGTATGTACGGTATCAGCCATCTTGGTATGCAGCAAATCCATTCCTCCGTCAGCATATCTTTCTATAAGTCCTCTTATACTTTAGACATATTTTCTACTGTAACAAAAAAAGAACTCCATATCCAATCTACAGATCCTACATCTGGACCATAGTGGTGCCAATAGCACATACGCCTATCATTCCCCTCCAGATCTACTCACCCGCCACTAAACATCCCCTCCATCAACCGCATGATCCACTCGCCAGCTCCAGCTCCAACTCCCGATTCAAGCTCCTCTCCAATGTCAACATCCACACCTCCAAGCCTAGAGCTGATCCTATTCACAACCCCATCTACTTATCTACCCAGTAAACCTGTGCAGCCTTCATGAGCGAGCTGCAAAAGTCTTTTGCCAAGTCCAGACTGGCCAAGCTGCCTCTCCAACCGCCAACCGGGCCGTCCATGCAACCCCTCGACGAGGAGGTCAGTCACGACGATGACTCTTCCTCGACCTCATCAACAGGGACAATAGTTCCCTCACCCAGCAGACAACTGTTCGCAAGGCCAGGACGCGGGTGCGTATAACCCTCACACCGCCGCCTCTCCCCCCCCACAGTTCAGTATCTAGCGATCACCAAACTAACACACTTTATCAGATCCGTCCAACAAACAACCCTCCCCTGGACAGACTACTTCACCCAGGAGCTCTATCTCACACAAATAGACACACCCAACAACACTAAGATCACTCACCATGTCTACCTCACACCACCAGCAGACTCCTCCAGTCCTCTCTTCGTCATGCACCACGGCGCCGGCTCATCCGGTTTATCATTCGCCGCATGCGCCGGCGAGATCCGCAAAATCATCCCCAAAGCCGGCATCTTGTCCATAGATGCACGCGATCACGGCAGCACGGCAGTTACCCACGCCTCAGACGAGGACGGGGGCGAGGGCATCGAGCTAGATCTAAGCCTCGAGACGCTCAACCGGGACCTCGTCTTCGTGGTCCGCGAAACCCAGTCCCGAATGGGCTGGGAGAGTCTCCCCGATCTGGTCCTTGTCGGCCATAGTCTAGGTGGTGCGGTGATCACCGATGTAGCCAGACAGGGCGAGCTGGGAAGTAAAGTACTAGCATATGCAGTTTTGGATGTTGTAGAGGGTAAGCCGGCCTTCACCTCATCTCATCAAGCAAACTACAAGCAAAGGAGGATAAAAAAAAAAAAAAAAAAAAAACACTAACGGCAAGGACCAGGATCCGCCATGGATGCCCTTCAAAGCATGGAAACCTATCTCATGACCCGCCCCTCGCGCTTCCCATCCATCACTTCGGGAATAGAATGGCAGTAAGTGATCAACCAAACCCTTCCACACTCATTTACTTAAATCAGACTGTAAAGCACCCGCTCGCGCACAATCCGCAACAAAACCTCCGCCCGCGTCTCTGTCCCCTCCCTCCTCTACGAAGATCCCAACTCACCCGACCCCTCCAAACCCTGGATCTGGCGGACCAATCTCTCCGCCACGAAACCCTTCTGGGAGAACTGGTTCGTTGGTCTTAGTCGCAAGTTTCTCGATGCTCGTGGTGGGAAGTTACTCCTCCTAGCGGGGACAGATCGTCTCGATAAGGAGTTGATGATTGGGCAGATGCAAGGTGCGTATACTCCCCCATCCTATTCCTCTTATCTACCTAGGTTACTTTTGAAACTGTGTTGAGTGGATGATATGCTAATATCGATATCTGCAGGTAAATACCAACTACAAGTCCTGCCGGAAGCAGGCCATTTCATCCAGGAAGATCAACCGGCCAAGACGGCGCAGATTTTGGTAGATTTTTATAAGAGAAATGACCGCAGTGCCTTGGTTTTGCCGCCTAAGGTGGCGGATTTGCAGGCTTCAGCGGCGATGAAGAAGGGGGGTGGGAGTGGTGCTGGTGCTAGTGCTGGGGGGTTGTTTAAGAAGATATAACTATACTATACTATACTAGATGTTGAATATAAGTCTAAGATTATTTTATGCTGTATAAAGTGGTGATGTCCTAGGAGGGATGTCCTGTTTCAAAGTAGCTGTATTGAGTATTTGAGATAGAAATAGTAACTAGTAGTAGGATCTTTCCATCCTGGATTAAATACAATGCCGCCACCAACACCAATGCCCACCGTCAATGCCCCCAAAGACGCCACATGCTACCGAGTATCCTGCCCATGAATGTGGAATAAGAAGACAGGAAATCGTATTGAACGAAGAACAGAAAGATGATATAGATCAATGCGGAAAAGAAGAAAAGGAATAAAGGGTATCTGGCGCTATTGCATATACGTCCCTCACTCAAGGAAGATAGGCGCCCCCGGCAATGATCAAATTCATATTCGTAAACTTCACCTTGTAGACCGGGCTCTTCTTCGTAGGAAAAGCGCTGATCTGGTCGGGCGTCACCACGACATCCTTGCCCTTCTTCTTGCCCATACCCGGGGCGACCGCACTTGAGGTTTGCGTAGTGCTGGGTGCTGGCTGGTTGCTGCCGTCGACCTTGGTGCCTGCGCCGCCCTCGCCGACGACACGGCCCTGGGAGGGATCCTGAGCCGGGCCCGTCACATCCCACACGCGGACAGTGCCATCAGCACCACCGGAGACTAGGACGGTTGACTCGACGCTCCAGCTCAGGGACCAGATTCCGCCCTTTCCGTGACCACGCATGCGCTTCAGTAGTCGGCCAGGAGCCAGGTCCCACAGTAGGATGGATCCTTGGTCATCTGCGGATGCGAGGAGCTTTCCATCGCGGCTGCATGCCAAAGCAGTAATGTTGCCAGTGTGTCCGGTGAACATGCGGACTGCATTTCCCGTGGTAACGGCCCACATGCGGACCGTGTGGTCGGAGCTACCGGTGAAGACGTACGCCGAGTTGGGGTGGAAGCAGATGCAGTCAACATCTTGGTCGTGACCGACAAAGATGCGCTGTTGGCGGATATGATCCGTAACCCACAGGCGGGCAGTCTTATCGTGTCCGCCAGAAACGAAGTAATGGCCGTAGGGGCCCCACTGAAGGTCCCAAACCGGCTGGTCATGGCCCTTGTAGACCACCATGCACTGCCAAAGGTCCAAGGACCAGAGACGGATGGTCTTATCTGCGGACGACGAAAGCAGCCAGCGCGCATTCGTCGGGGCGACGGCATTGTCCGTCTTGGTAATCGATGGTGCAAATGCCACTGAATAGACCGGTCCGGAATGTCCGATTAGACGGCGAGAGTTAGAAGGTGGAGTATCATCCACGTTGTCGTAGGTCGATTGAATTTTCTTGCCATCCATGCTCCAGACCCGGATGTATGACTCCTGCATACCAGCTGCGACGAGCATAAGATCATCCGAAAAGTCCAAACAGTTGATTCTGTTGATTGTTAGTCAAGACCTAGTACCAATGAAACCATGTTACCTACCCATCATAGGTGTTGTGGAAGGTGAACATGCAGACGCTCACAGCGGGACCCACGCCACCAGTTCTGCCCTCAATCCTGAATCTGTCGCGGTTCTCCTTAACCTTCTGAATCTCTATAGCCACATCTCGAGCAGTTGACGGAGGATATGGGATATCAGCTCGAGTTGGAGCTTCTTCATCCTCTTCCTTCTTGATCATCTGGTCAAACTCTTGAATCAGAGTGTTTTGACCTGGGCCTGGAGGGTTCTTCGCATCCTCATCCGCCAGCTCGCCCCTCACATCTGTCTCGAGGGCTTGCTCCAGGGGGAGCTTTCCTAGCTTAAGCCTGGGCAGAGTTCCCGCCATGTTCGGGTTGTCTCCAGTGTATGCAGAGCCAGGGTGGTGCCCAGGAATGCCTTCATCTTCACTGGGGAATGTCTGACCGTCTGTTTGACCCAGCATCGCAGCAAAACTAAATCTATCGTCCGCGGTACGCTCTTTGGTGATGATAGTACAATAACTGCTTAGGATGGCAGTCATATCTGAGCCACCCTCTTTCTGCTTGCTTTCCAGGAACTGCATGAGGTTCGAAAAGGCGGGGTTGCTGAGAACCAAACGGTACTTGTTTGTACGATATAACTTGGCGGTTGAATTGGCTTGCACATGCTCTGGCAAGCTGATTGGCTCCAATGCCCGCACATCTTCTGTGTGCTCAGGCAAGAAGAGGTTCTTGTTCAGATCAAAGAACTGCTTGGCATCCTGCGGCTTGAAGGAAGACACCATGTTGATGAAGGTGTATACGAATAGCGGCCAGAGGACACGTCTCAGTTCAGGCTTTAGAACGTAAGTATGAATCCGATACATGTGAGCAGGATTCTGCTTCTTACCTTGTAAAGATCCAAGTTGTCTTCAACCCAAACCTTGAGCAAGTCTACGTACTGTGAGCACTGTTTCGTATCATCAAGACCGAAAAGGACTTACCAAAACCCATCCTGTACTTGGGTCGTGCATCTTCGCCAAGAGGGGGCATAGGAGGACGGCCATCGATTTCTTGATGTGCCGACTCAATACGTAGCATGGCCTCCGTACGACTATAGCCCTTCTTCGCAAGATAATCGATGACCTGGAAACTGTTAGCACAAGCGTTGACATATAACATGACAGCATGATGCGCAATAGTAGCAATATACGACCGACATGATAGACGGCAAGGTTGGATGACAAAGAGAAAGCTTGGACAGCAAACGTAGGCATTCCCATACCCCCTCAGTGAGTGTAAAAGACAATCACAACTGACTCAGTTCATAATCATTACCAAGCAATGTGCGTAAAGCATACGCCGGGGTAACACACCACCCTATCACACCGCAGTCCAGGCACAGGCACATGACGCAATGAAACACAGTACACCACAACAACAAACATAGATATTACAAAATCAATTGATGACTTACTATTTGATTGAGGTTCTGCTGCGACATCGGACCACCGGGAGGCGGCGGCGGAGGCGCAGGAGGACCCGGAGTGACAGGCCCGGCGTTGGTCATGGGCTGCTGAGGAGGCATAGACATGCCACCACCGGGCCCCATGCTTCCACTTCGGGGAGCAGGGCTGGGGGCCCCGCCTGGCGCAGACATCGCGCTTAAACGATCAGATACAAATCAATCTGTAGCCTCAGATGTAGAGAGAGGAGAGTGAGCGGATGAGACGGGATAAATGGCGAGTCGCAAGTGCCAGCAGGGTGACGGCAGGACGAGGCGCGCAAGTATTCACGGGAGGTTTTGAAGTTCTGATATCGCACTATCGCGCTTCAGGCCTAGCGCGTCGGGCCCCGGCTGAGGTAAGCAGAGTTCCCCGGGTTGGGTGGGCACGTGACGGAGCTTGTTGGTTGCAGGCCCAGATCGAGTAGTTACTCCATCGCCAATTCTGCCCGTCACTTCTACTTAACTACTTCCTTCTGCTGGCAGCCTGGAACATCAACAAAGAAATAAAACCAAGACCAAACAAAATGACAGATGTCAAAGACACCCGCAAGCCAGACCAAGTCTTTACATCAGCGGATCGAATCCGGCAATTGAATGAAATAGACAAGGTGAGTTTAAGAGAAAAGAAATAGAGGCCCGGGATTATTCCCCGCGCGACACCACCGAAATGCTACTTTGCTAGCGATAGATACTCAACATCCCCGCTACTACATTATTCATATTATGTCATTGGCTTTCTTCCACCCTCACTAATCGCCGCAAATCACTACAGGATGTGGCCAAGCTAATTCATTCCGCGGGTCTCGCAATCCAAGCCCTGACCAACGCTCGGTCGGGCGAGTCACCTTCGGACAATTCTCTCGCATCCCACCAAGCCCGCTTCAAGGAGGCCACTTCGCAATACTTCGCCCTCCTTTCGTCCATTGATGTTCGACTCCGTCGTCAGGTGTATGCTCTGGAAGAGGCGTCTATTCTTGCGCCGGACACAGCGTCGAGAGCGGAGAATCTACCTGGTGCGAGCAGTGGTGGAGTAGCGGGCGCATCATCGAACCCGCTCGATGTTAGTTGGCTTAACAGTCGGAAGGATACGGTGGGTAAGGATAAGGAGGCAGAGCTGTGGGCTGCTGCGAGGGAGTTCGTGGAGCGGATTAGCAAACCGGCGTCTGTGAGCTCGGGAGCGAAGACAGAGGGCGAGCAGGAGAAAATGGAGGTTGATTAGACGCCATTGATGTTGGGATGATTTACGAAATTTTGATAAGGCTTGGTCCTTGTATTGGCGAATTATGGTGATTGCTCTACTATCTGGAGTTCTGTACCATATCTTGCCATGTGGTTGCAGGTGGAGCTAAGCGGACAGCCTGTCTATGATACCCAAATTTATTGAATGTATTGGCAATTGATTTTGCATTATGCAATGAAGAGTTGCTCGCGGGAATGGCTGGCCAGGCCATCACAGAAAATGGTGCTTACAACGCACAATCACATAACGCCTGCAGTTCATCGTATACGAGTAATATTGGGATCCCCAGGAACCTTGAGCTCGAAGTACATACAACAAATGTAAATGAATAACAGCCTCTAAAACGACGCTATAATGGCTTCCTTAACTGACAAACAGACGACTAGCTGTGCATAGACCGGATCATCTCCAGGTGGGTAGCCCGATCTCTGTTCGACTCGGACAAGGAAGGGAGACCTGTTCCGCTTATTAGCATGAAATTGCCCGCCAGCTGATTAGACTCTGCACTTACTCCGAAGTTCACCCACAACATCCTTAGCCTTGCCGAAGTATACCTCCTCTGTAAGAACAGTTCGATTAGCAATCAGCCCAGTAACGTAACAACACTCGCTTCACGGCCGCAAAGGGAAGACATACGCAGCAAGTTCCTCATCTTCAACTCCATGTCCTCAACAAGCCGACCAACATTGGCGACGTGGCTCGCATCCGATTCGACGGGCAGATCCACCTCCACCTGACGGGTCATGTTACCGCTCAGGTCCATCTCACCCAAGGACTCGGATTCATTAGCCAAGTGCAAGATGACAGTGCTAGTCAGCTTGTAGTGGGACATGCGCGCTCTGTCGGTAGCCTCGAAGACGTGGATACTGTCCCATTCTCCTGAGCTCTTAGCACCTGGTGTAACTCCTATACAAAACAGGATGTTAGCTTGAATTGCCAGTCTAAAGTAACAAGACAGCACTCGCTCACCCTTCTTCAACAGTATAACACCGGCGAATCCATCGTCCAAGTCCCAAAAGTACACGCTGCCTACTCCACCCTCGTAGTACAGCTCACGGTAGACATCGAATGCCTCGTTGGCGGCAACCTCGAGCTTTCTCACTCTCTCACTGGGCACGGTTCCATCTTCCAGCGGGGGGTCGAACTCATTGCTCCAGGGCGACCGGTAGCTATCTCCGTCGCGGTTGTAGTCACAGAGGAGGTAGTCGCGGTCTGTCTTGGGGCACTTGCGGATCTCTAAGGGCTGATCGACAGAAGAGAGGAGGTCCTCGGTCAGATCGGGGACGATGGAGGTGATTGCCTGGAGGTTTTGCTTCGTATCGCGGGGGTTGAGGCGCCGGAGCAGGTCCCTGGAAGCAGGTATGATGGTCAGCGGGAGGCAGCAAGCGGGGTCGATGGCGTGGATCGGTCGCCTCCAGAGACTAGGCAGGCTTCATAGTATTGGAGCAAAGCCAAAACTGCAGCACTTACAGTGCACTGTCGAATTGAGCGTCAGCCATGATGATGATATGCTGAAATGTGTCTGATTGTGGTTGAGTCTGTCTACTGTTTAGGCACGGGTTCCGCCGTTCTCCAATGCGATCCGCCGCCCCCTAGGTTATTTCCCCATCGGGAATGTGGTGGGGCTACTGCCACACCAGGCCGCCCTCCCCGCCTGCCTATCAAGGTAAGTTAGACTCTATCGCTGGCAGATCATCACCGCCTTTTGAATCAGCCTACATTAGGAGGCTCATCTGACCATTCCTTACAGGCGTGGGGAATTCGAGGATTCGAGTGATTAACACAGGTATTGCTTGGTTGTTATCAAGAATGAAGTTTGTGGCAATCCACATTGCCTTACGTCGACATAAGGCTGGAGACGTCAGCCACAAAGATTTGTCACGTCACACCATCCACTCCCATACGGCCATCTAAGACTACGGAGTATGTCCATTGAGTCTTGAATGTTTTGACAATTGTATGGCCGATTTATGTTACATGGCTGTATGGGGGATGAGCAGAGTTAAGATAAGCAGCAAGTTGATATGAGAGGTAGACCGGCAAACCCTCAGCTTGCACTCTCCGTAATGGGGTCCGGAATCTCCCCCTTGATGATCTGACGGGGGACATCTACATGAAGCACGCCCTTCGAGTCCACAAACTCAGGTCGAGTGAACAGCCGAATCATATCCGGCATACCATCGTCGACGCTGTTGAATAGCTGGAAAGAATCCGCAAATGGCACACGCCACTTCCACCAGATATACTGGTCATCAACGTCCGCCTGACCGGGGATATGAAACTGCTCTTCAGCATCTTCCAATGCCTGAGCCCAGTTGGCTTTGATCTTGCGGTACTGCAGAACCACGGTCGAGTCACGCGGCGATCGCTCGTCGAGCTTAGCCAGCCATCCAGGAGATAGTCCCCCGGCCTTGCCTGCAGTCTTGAGTTCGTCGAGCCGATTTTGTGTGTAGAGGCGAAGAGTAGAATCAGGGGCATTTTTGAAACCTGTTGTGAAGTCTTGCACAGGTGGTTCGGTGCCCCACACATCGAACTGTTCTTGGTCGGGAGTGCGGACCAGACAGAAGATATTTGGATCCTCGCTGGCTTCAGCGAACTCTGTCATGAATTGGTTGATCGTCTGATAGTGACAGTAGAAGTCAGTTGTACTTGATAGTCTCACAAAACGGAGCTTTCATACGCTTGCCGGCACGTCGGAGGTGCAGAATAGGAAAATGCTCGTCATGATTGCTAGGTGGCAGTGGTAAACTGAGATTGGTATTGAATGCGAATGCGAGTTGGTTTAAGCAAGGCTGAGGGTCTGAGAATGAGAGGAGGCTCTTATAGTCAGTATTAGGCTCGTACATACTGGCGTGGGTCCGCCCACCTGCCCTAACCAACCTCGTACTTTGTCAGATCTATGAAATCGTCCCTCCCGCCAAGACTCAAGGAAATAGATCCCTTCTGGCAAATGTTCTTTTGATATCTATTGAAAATGGACCACAAGTGAAAAGTAGTTGATCTCAATGTCGTTTTTCTTTTGCTCATCCACTGTCTCATCCACAGGCGCGAGAGTCATTGACGCTAAGAATAACAGATCGGATGGGAGTTGGTTTGAGATTACGGGGTTTAAGGTGAAGAGTGGGAAGAATGCGAAGGTTGGGTATGTATCATTCCCTCTTTCTCTGATATATGTCTCTTTTGTGGCTTCTTGAGAGCAAAATTATGCTGACGCTGGACAGGCCATACTGCCAGGCTTTCACCGATAAGAAGCCCGGGAATGTGTGTAGTGCGAGTATCAAGGTTATTGGGAACTGGGGTTTCGATGTGGCTGAGTATGCGTATGTTTATAACCATTCGACGAAGAAGTTTGATTATGTGGGTAAGTGAGGTGGTTAAATGCTTCCCTTTGATTGAAGAGGGTTATCGTGACACTCTGGCTCTGAGATGAGTTGATATCGCGGTTTTAGTCCATGTTCAGCATCATGGGGAGGACATATAAGATTATACTACTAGGTGTCGGATTGGTGTATGACTACGTGTACTTGTTCAGTCTTTCGATTTAGACATGATATTAGATTTGAGATGCGGGGGCGCTTGTTTGAATAAGTAAGGTCTTACACATGGTATATACACTTAAAGAGATTGAAGACATAACTGGATTCTTGGGTTGGGTCTCGGTTACTTACAGTCCGTCCACTCTAAGATAGCTTTTTATGGTGTTCGAGAATGTGTCTACGTGCGGGTATATGTATGACATCAAGAAATAACTCCACCGTTCTCATCTAAGTATATTGCTCGAGGGTATATGCAACCAGAGTATCACCAATGCAGAATGTAACCAAGCTATGCGTTCATGTCCAAATCAGTCATCGCTATCATCCAGAAACAAACCGGCCCCGTTTCGGGGGCCTTTCCACACTCCTGTCCAAAAGAGTAGAGACATCTGGAAGATCAAAATCGTCATCTGTATCTCCGTCTTGAGTCCTTTGCGAGCAATAGAACGGTTCCACTTCAGCGTTAGTCGCTGATACCGAGTGCTTGGCCGGTGGGGTTCGTTGTACTTCAGACACATCTCGCTCTTCATGATCCTTTGGCTTGGATGATACCACCTTGGATGTGCGTCTAGGTTTGGTCCGGGAATGAACCTCCCCATGACCATTGGACTTCGGCGCTACTATCGAGGCCTCCGGCCTGGAGGCCGCCTCACGTGCTATGATTTCCTTGTAACGATCCCCATAGTTTGGAGTAATCTGGTCCATCTTTTGCAACGTCTGAATCATGCGACGAGTCAATGACCCGTGTCTAACAGCTTTCGTAGGTCTAGGCGCAAGCTGAAGGCGTGGGAAGGCGTCGCTTCTGGGATAACTGACCAGAAGCTCTTCACTGGGCCCAGCGTTGCTGTAGAGGAGTTCAAGTTCTTTTTGCTGCGCCGGGGTAAGCAGAACATCTTCAAGCGCCGGCAATTCTACGGGCTCTGGAGTCGGCGTGCGAGCCTTACTTTTGTTTGGTGCTTTGCGCTTAGAGGTCCCGGCCAAGTTCGATGCCGTAGTGAATCCGGTCTCGACATTATCAGGCATATGGAACTTCTTCGGCGGCCTTTTCGGTGCCCGGCCTCGCCGTTTCGGCTCTGGAAGATCTCGCACAGTATTCTCCTCGGGAATATCAATCGCTCGTTTGTCAGCAACAGGCCGCACACCCGGGGGCAGGATCCGCGGAGACATGTCATCGTGAAAAGTGAACCGGGTGCCACTCGCTATCATTTGCTGCATCTTTTCGTAGTTGTCCTTGGCCTTGATGTAAGACTCCTCTTCCTTGCCTTGCATGAGTAAGAGCGTGATCTTTCCTGCTCTCTTTCGACCGGTACGTCCCATGCGCTGGAGCATACGAATAGGTGAAGCTGAAGAGTCGTAACACACGATAAGGTCCACTTCACCGATATCCAAACCTTCCTCACCGATGGAAGTCGCAACAATTGTGTTGTAGGTTCCCTTCTTGAACTTCTGCACAATGTCGAGTTGCGTTTTCTGTCCCATTCCTTCCGAGCCCTTCGCGCTACTCTGCCCGACGAAGACATGGGGCCGAATCATGGGCTCGTATCTTTTGAGTACTCTCGTGACTTCTTCTGCGCTATCACGGAAGTGTACAAATATCATCACGCGAGTGGCCGCTTGATCCTTGTTTTCGTCTGCACCAGAGCCTTCACCAGCGTCCATAAAATGATTCAACACCACCTGCTTCAGATACTCCAATTTGGGGTGTCCAATAAACTCTGGATTCTTTGTCCACGGCTGCAGATGGTTCATAAGCTTCTTGTAGCTCTCGTCCTGAACGACTTGCCGCTGGTACTTGCCACCCTTTTGTCCCTCGGTGTTGGATTGGAAGTGCAAAAGATGACGGTAAAATGGTGTTATCCCATGGTATTTGAGAAGATCGATACCATGAGCCAAGCTGGCTAGAACCGTGAAGATTGCATTCATTTTGGCCTTCACGCCGAAATGAGCGTTTCTGCCGGAGTCGGATAGCATCCATTGTTGTCTGGCTTTGGTGAGCCCGTATGCTGTGAGACCCATGGGGTCACGCCCCCAATAGGCATTTGTGCTCCGTAATTGATCGAGAAGGGGCTGTAGGGCTTTCGACATTAGGTCCATGCAAAGGACCATCTCCTCTGAGTTCTGGAATGTCTGCACCTCCGTGTCTTTCGAGTGGACATACTCTCTAATGTCGAGTGACTGCTCTGTACGTATCTCAACTCTCGATATATCAAGTCCGTCAATGACAGCTTGTACAGATTCCACTGTTGAGCCTGGCGTAGCTGTCAAAGCCAGGACACGGAAGCTCTGATTGTACCGCCGCAGGAACTTGACAACTTCAACATATGCATAACCACCAGTTGCACGATGGGCTTCATCGACGACAACCAGGACGATTCGCTTCGGGTCAGCAATCCCGGTTTTTAGGTCGTTGATCAAAGTTTGAGGCGTCATGAAGAATACGCGTTTTGCCTTCCATTCTTCGGCTCGGATTCCCGGAGCAGCCTCTCCCGTGAGCATAGTGGTCTGGGATCTAGGGATCCCAGCGACTTCAAAGCATGCAGAAATCTGCTGAGCAACTAGCGGTTTTGTGGGCGCAACAAAGACAATCTGAGCATCTTTGGTCCACCGAAACCAGTTGAGCATGATAGTAGCTGCAATGAACGTTTTTCCGAGACCCGTGGGTAATGCTACAAGCAAATTATGAAAAAGGCCTTTTTGAGCAATATTGAACTGATAGTCTCGAGTTTTACCCAGGTTCGTAGGATAAACCCACGTACCCAAGGCTTCCTGGTTGAGTTTATGCTGAGTAGGTGGCTCGCTCTTCTCAGGCGGAGAGTACACCTGTTCACCGCGCGGTGGCTGATTTTCTGGGTGTCTGGCAACCATACCAAATAGTGTGGTTTGGCGAACACCTAATGGGCGATTCGTTGACTGTGTGAATGACTGAGCCGCCAGGCGAGGCTGAGGCGCAGGAGGTGGTGACATTGACAGGTCTGAGTCGAAGGCATCATCAGGTATATCGTCCAGAAGATCATTGGAGGCCACAACGGTAGTGTTCTGCTGTCCAACAATGGGAGGAGCAGATGGGCACGGGGGCTTTTGCAAGGGCACCGAGGGAGCTGGTCTTGATGTTTCCTCCTCGAACGATTGCAACGATGCCTCAATCGCTGCTTTCATCTCTTCATCATCGTCATACTCATCATTTCCATCACCATCAGTAGCGGAGTCTCTGGTTTGAGTTGTTATTGGCAGCGGGGTGGCAGCAGTTCGGGAAGGTAAGCCAGGATCAGGCTTCTTCCAACGGGGACCACGAAGAATTTCCGGCGGAGAGGGGGGCTGTGTTAGCTGCGTCACAAAGATATTTTCCTGAAAATTTGCGTTCTTGGGAGCGAAGACTTTGTATTTGGATCGTGCCTCTCGTTCACTATCGTCTTGGAAGTAGTGTGACTCTCGTTCGGGAGAGGGCACTTCGTCGTCATCATAGTCGATAAATGAGTCTGAGCTTAGCGCTGTCCTAGCCCCATCGCGACGCTCTGCACGAGACTTTTGATGCGATTGCAATTCCGCGTTTGGGGTATCTTTACTAGCTTTCAGACGACGGCGCTTGGCTGGTCGGGGAGTGTCAGGATCGGTCGAGTCTGCCGCATTTGAAGGCCGGTCGACGCCCAAGTCGCCCAGATCATCGTCGAAATAGTCAGAGGAGCCACTATCAAGACTGAACATAGCGAACCCGAGGTGCATCGTAGGATAAAACCCCGACCACTGTCGAAGATACCTGGACGCGACGCGTTGAGAGCAATCACATGTCCTTATCGATAAAGAAGCTTACATAAGTAGCGAGTAAGCGGTCTAGTTCGCCTTGATAAGGGATACTAAACTAGTCCTGATCTAGATCTGGGTAGAATCAGTTCACACATTGGCTCAGAAAGAAATTATACATTGATATGGAGACTATTGGGGAAGTCGAATCAGATGTTACTCTCGCACTACTGAAAATGCGATGACTGTAACATCATAACAAGCCATACCGATGGACAATTTTTCTCAATGACCCTTCATATCGCGCTGTGGTGACATAGCACAGTCGATCTCGAGCTGAAAGTTTCAAAGAAGAGTATAGCAAATCTAAAGAGGAAATACCTACTTCTTGAAAGGAACTCTAATCGTTCCACATTCTTGCGGGCAATATGACAAAGAACCGCCGACAATTAAAGCTTCATGGAATCAAAGGAGTAAATAGGGGTAGACATGCAATCCATAGAGCCAGCTACTAGATAATAGAAAAAGCAACTTAGTATTCAGTCGGTCTTTACAGTCTGCATCCTGCACTTACCTTGCCAGATAGGCACACTGCATATACAGCAAGCAAATTACCCAACTGCGGAACGCTTAAAGTGAAACCCCGCGAGTTTCAAATTGGCCGGGATTTTCTTGGCCTCGACATACTCTAGAAAGTTGGCTTTAGGTGCTCTTTGTAGGATGCAGAAGGCCTGGGGGTGACGTTCTTACAGGATATTGATAACAATGTTTACTAGAAGGCCTCTCAAGCACGTGGCCTTATACCGGCGAAGGTGCTCTCCAAATCTCTAGGTAAATTCTCAGCTAGGCTGTATCTTCCTCCTGTCGCTCTGCAAAACCATACTAGCTAGCGATGCCCCATTCACCAACTATTGTGACTACGACCAACTATCTCTAAAGCCCTAGGCTTCTCCACTCTGTGTCCTCCCGCGGAGAATGAAATATGCCGGGCTATTTGAGTTGCTTTGATGGTAAAACAGTGCCGACAAGATTTGTAAGAGCTATTGGCTTTTTTACTGCGAGCTCAAACACCAATTAAACTCTATTGATGCCGAG